CTGACGACGTCTCCCCACTGCACTCTAGGCTCTGTGAGAGCAGGACTAAGTGTGCTTTTGTGTTCTGCTCGTCGCTGTCTCCTCGGCGCCTGGAGGACACATGTGAAGTATGTGTAGAGCAAAGGCGAGAAGAGCAAGAGTGCATGTAAGTTGTTCACAAAAAATAACTGTCTCCCCTTTCTATAGAAATTTCAGTGGTTTTCAGTTAACCTAGGAAATTTATTTTACTGTAGATAAGCATGTGTACAGTTGTCTCTGTGCACAAACCAATCAGGGCTGCCGAATATAGTTGTATAGCGTGCACACTCCTCGCGGAGATGAACCAGGGTGGGAAACTGGGAGCTGAAATCCAGCCCGCTCTCCTTGCCCAGGTCTGCTCCCTGATGCAGGGGGCTCAGGGGAAGGGACACTTTTTCTTTTTTTTTTTACATATAAAGGCACTTTTATCTCGAAGTTCAGGCCCTCAGGACAGCACACCCCCAAAGGACTTCTCCATTATGTAATTTGCACAAAGGTGCCTCTGGGCTGACATGTCAGGCTCTGGGGCCAGTTTAAGATTTTTCTGTTCTGTGGTCACCCAGATTGCTCTCTTTATGCTGGACAACTATCTTCCAAACACTGGTGCTGATTATAGGGGAAACCAGATGAGAGACTAGGAAAGGGTCAGCATAGCATCTTCACTTTTATATCCAACTGAACAAAAATCAAAGCATCTGTACTCAAACTGACACCAAGTATGTTGAGAAGAAGCAGAACAAATTTGTGTGTTCTGTGACATGCCCAGCAGATAAGTCCTCAGGTCTAACTTCTGATTTTGAATGATTTGATGACATCTCTGTCATGTACTTTCCTGAGTCTTTGAAAATAATGTGGATGAGTCCCTCTGGGTCATATTGCTCATTCCTTCAGTAGCAGGGAGGGACAGTTCTTTCAACATCAAAGCTGTTGATTGTAGTTTTAAACAATATTCATTATATATTGAGGCTGAAGTGTTTAGGGATGTAGCAGACTGGTGTTGTTACCAAACCAAGTGGGTTTGCCTTCTGGCAGAATTAAGAATCAGTCTCTTGACCAGGAGTAGTTGTCACACAAAGTAGAATTTATTTGCAGCAAATAGGAGGCCACACGAAATCATTTCCAAAGTTGTGGTGTCCATGAACAAAGGGAAGCAGGGGCTTTTTATTTCAGATGGGGAATGAATATCCAAAAGGGAGGGATGGGCGTTCTCTTGCGCAGGCTCAGTTAGAAAACATGGTTCCACGTACTCTGCAGGTTATGGTAATAAGGCCTAAGCTCCTCACAGAGAGGAGATCTTAGCATTAAAAATGAGGCAAAGGTCATAGGTGTCATTCTTGTGGTGGAGCTTGTTCTGGGTCAGGGTGGTTGGTGATTGCATCTCTTAAACAGTTAAATGCTTCTGAACCCATCCTTGAGTTCCTCAGAGGATTTAGTCAGCAAAAGTGTCTGCAGTTTTCTTTGAAGGCATCCAAAAAAAAGGGTGGATCAAGAGACGAATAGTTGGATACCTGGGTGATAAAGCAAATAGAGAAAGGGTAATTGTAAGATCAGGTGACAGTGTGCACTGTACAATTATTTCAACTTTTCAGTATGTTCAAAATTTTTCATAGAAGATGTTGGGGGGAAACAATTCATTTAGTTTTATATAATAAAATGTAAAATTTTTTAGGTATCAGGGAATACAACAATGAATAACAAGACATGGTTCCTGTCGGTACAGCACCGCCTGAGAGACAAGCATGATAGCAGACAATGAGAAAACAATACAGTGAGTGTCCTAATAACATACACAGAATGTTCTGGGAACATCAAGGAGAAGTACCTACCACATTTTGCCATGTTTATGTGTGTGGTGGTGGCATCAGGGAGATCTTCCTGGAAGAGAGGCCCGCAGAACTCAGCCTTGAATGGCAATGGGCTAGAAACTAGTTTAGGTAGTAGGGAGGGAAGGAATTCTATGAACAAACACTGTGTGGTGTTTGCAGCAGCAGGAGATGGGCTGAGACTGGTCAACCTTGGAGGGCTTGTGTGCCATACCGACCAACTGGGCTTCATCTTGTGGGGCATTTGGAATGGCTGGAGGTAAGATGGGGATGACCAGGTCAGAGTTGCTTTTAGCTGGATCACTAAGATGGCCGACTGGAGAACATACCTGAGGGGCCAAAGCTGGAGGTAAAGTAAGCACCTGTGTTGGTGTTCCCGTCAGGAGATGACCTGAATGCAGAGGTGATAGTTGGGATGCAGGGGAGGGAACAGAGTTGAGGAATATTTAGGATGTAAAATTGGAGAACTGGAGATGGGAAAAATAAAGGACAGGTAAGCACACTGCTTTCTGTAAGAGAGGCTGTTGAGGAGGGGATGATGGGCTCAGTTTAGAACATTTTGAATCTGAGGTGCCTGTGGGACACCCAAGTGGAGCTGACCAGTTGGCAGCCAGAAAAATAAAACATAAACTTAGGAAAGAAGTGAATCTATTGATTTGGAATTGAAATAATGAAGTTTGAATCTGTGGTTGAGATTAACAGGGGAGAATATGCAGAGAAATAAAATGAAAGGTATGGATTTCTAATACCTGGCACACAGGACATGGGTAATGAATATGTGTTGAAGATGAAGGAAAGTAAGCAGAATCCTGGAGACCAGCATTCAAGGATGGGTTGAGAAAGGGAAGCTGACGAAGATGTCAGGAACAATCAGAGAGGTTAGAGAAGGTTAAGAGTGTGTTTGAGAACTGTCAGGGAGGGAAGGGCTTCAGGAAAGGGAGAGAGATTACAAATGAAAGATGAGAACTACACTCCATTCTTGGGCTCAACAATTAGCAGGTCACTGGTGACCAAGGTGCTTCTGCAGAATGGTGAGGGTGGGGGCAAGAGAGCATGAAGATAAGGAGTGAAGGGCGCTGAAGTCATCTTGTCTGGAGACGTGTCATAGAAGCTGTCACTGGAGAGCCTTGGTCTGCATTAAGGGGGACTGGAAGGCTTTAATTTACTTTTCATGGCACCCATAATTTCTCAAAGGAAGCTATCTAGAGGTATCGTACTCATTTACTGCTGCAATTCATTATAAAATTAAATCATAATTCACAAATAAATATAAAGAGCAAACTCTCCTTCAATTATGTCTTGTGTTCCTGTAGGGAAAAAAAAGCAAACTGTGGTCAAGTAACATAAGTCCAGCATTTAACACAATTTTTAAATTAATTCAGACATTTATTTAGTGCCTGTTATGTTTTTAGCCACTGGGCTAAATGGAGTGAAGGTACCAGGAGAGAGGGAGAAGCCAAAATTATGGGAGAGGGGAGATGACTGGATATTGGGGTGCCAGGCAGGACATGGCAGGGCAAACAAGGTACAAAGATGGACAGACTGGCTGTGAACATGGGCAGACACATCCTCTGCAACTAGCTCTAGGGTCAGGATGGTTGTTGAGGAAACAGGTGTGATTGTAGAGGCTGGGAGGTGGAAGGAGACCAAGTCTGATGGTCTTGGTGTTCCGGAAGAGGGAGAAGACATGGTCTTTGGCTGAAAAGGAAGTTGAGGAGGGGCAGGTGTTGCACAAAGAGCTTTGGTGAAGTGGGAAAGGTCTGGAATAGTCCTGAAGGAACCAGCATAGGACAGGGACCCCATCCATAAAAGTAGGTGTTTGCATACACACCTGGCCTCTCATTAAACTATAAGCTCTCTGGAGGTGGTGTGGCCCTTCTCTTCCCCTGGGGCTTGACTCAATGGATGAAGACCCAAAGCCATTTTGAAAGCTCCTCTCCATGTTTTCACTCATTTTGAGAAATATAATATTATTGCTTCACGATCTTTGAAAAATCTGGGCAAAGGTGAACTTTTAGGCCATGTAAGAGTTTTTACAAACGTATGCAATTAACCTTTTCCCTACACAACATATAGAAAGTCTAACTTAAAAATCAGAATTCTCAAAAAAAGGTGTGACTTTCTTACACAAGAATTATGAAGTCAAGAGACCCTATCCAATCACTTCACCAAGATGTCTCAATCAAGGGTACACTTCTCAAAGTTTTGATAGTCCCAGTTCTATTCTCCAATGGCAGGGCAGGATTCTCCTCACTGCTGGTTTCCTATTGGCTTGCAGATGTGGGCGGGGCCACCCATTCCTGGGGTGGCTACTAGCTCCACCCCATTCTATGCAAATAAAGTCAAAGCTCTGGTGAGCCCACGTGATTGGTCACGTGGCTGATGACTCCTCGCCCCACCCCCTTTAATGACATCACCACCCACTCAAACTCTCGCGAGAGTTTGCATAGATGCTGGAGAGTGGCTGGCAGGCCTGTCCACTGTGGCAAGAGAGGAGTCAGGGGAAGGGGCTCCAACAGAGGACCCCCCACTCCCATCCAGAGCCTCCAGGCCAGCTTTAGGCAGGGGCCCCAAGGGGTCTGTGGGCAGGGCCCAGGGGGGTCCCATGCACACTCTCCCCCCATTGGCTGGCTGCACCGGCATGCAAATGAGGCCGCGCGTCACTTCCGGAGGCCCATCGAGCGCCATTTTCTCTTTCTGGCGGTGCCGGGAGGAGGGGACGGGGTCGCGCGGGGCGGGCTCGCCGAGGCCGGGGTCCCGCCGCGCGGGGCGCAGGCAGCGGGCCCGGCGGGCGCGGCGACAGGCGGCGGGGGACGCAGCGCGCCCCGGGCGCCCAGCGGTAGGTACGGCCGCGGCCGGCCCACGGCGACGCCCCCGGCCCGCCCGGCCCGCGGCGTCCCGGCGGCCCCGCCCCGCCCCGCCCACACCGCGGCCTCTCGCGAGTCCCGCAACGCTCTCCGCGCGGGGTTCGCGGCCCGCCGGCGCCCCTCGGTGTCTCCAGGGCCGGGTGGTCGCCGCGGGCCTGGGGGACGGGGGCGGGGGGAGGGGGACGGGGGACGGCACGGTGAGACGGCGGGCCGGCCCGGGGTGGGGTGGGAGGGGGCGGGGGGCGGGGACGGGTGGGGAGGGGGAGGGGCGGGGGTGGGCGCGAGGCGGGGGCGGCGGCCGCCGGGCCCTTGCGGGGTCACCCCGGCGCGGAGCCTCGCCAGGGCCGCCTGAGGTGGCGGTCGCCCTCGGCCTGCCCTGCGGTGGTTCCCCCGGAGGGGGCGCGCTTTTGGAAGAGCAGCCGAACCGCCGAGAGCGAATCTCTTTTCTTCACCCTGAGCCTTTGGTGTGAATATTGATGATTGATGTGCGGATGTTGAGAGGAAGATTTTAACTTTTCGTGTGTCGTTGCTGGTCGTGTTGGCGTAGATCCTGTTTGCAAAATTTCTCCTAACATTTGGCTTTGGAATGTCAAAAGTTAGAACTGCCAGTTCAAATAGTGCACAGTTGCAGAATGATAACTAACTAAATGTTTTAAGTATTTTCTTTGAGTTTGAATGGGAGCCTTGCCTCAATGCTGTTAAGCCTCGTTGTGATTGAATACGATGGGTAATCGCTGCCTCTCGAGACCTCGAGGGCTCTGCTGGGGGGAGGAAGCTGACTACAGTGCTGGCTGGCAAGTGCCCCGAAGGCTTGGGGGTGCACACAGGTTTCATCGAGTGAGTGGTAGGGTTTGGAGTCTGGGCAGGAGCTGGGGCGTGGGGGGCTTTTGTGGGAGAGAGAGGACCACAGGCAAAGTAGGCGCCACGAGACGCGCACGTTCATCTTTGGTTGGAGGTCGAGTGATGTGTGTGGAACTTTAGAGCTGTTCCTGGAGCGTGGGCCATATCATTAAGGAACTTGATATTTAGGTTGCAGTTGGGACTTTGTCGAGCCAGTGGTCTTTAAGCGTGGAAGGGAGAGATCTGTGTGTAGAAGGGAACTGTCCGAGTCGGAGGACGGCCAGGGGTGGGGAGGAGAGAGGTTCAGCTGTCTGATTGAGAGGGCGTGAGAGTGTGAGGGCTGGACTTAGCGTTAGGCATTGATGATTTGTTATGGGGGAGTGAAGGCAGAGTGGTGGCAGAATTTTTCGAAGAAGGGATCCTGGGGCACCTTTTTAGTTTGCACCCAGGTTGTAATATGCTGTTGGTGAGTTTATGGTTGTAGTCACTTGGAGGGGCTAGGTCCCCAGGATTCTGCCACGCCCTCGGCTCTGGCTGTCACACTTGTTAGGGCGGTGTGTTAACATAGAGGAAACAGGAAGGCTGATGACCTGCTGAAGACCAGGTGTCTGGGGAGGATCTGCCAGTGTTTGAACCCGGACCTGAATGTTGTTTCATGGATGGCACAAAAACAAAAGCCCTGTATTCCCATACTTGGGACGTTTCATTTAGGTTTTTGGAGTTAGCTAATAGCAAACACAGTGCTTATGTTCTAAGTGCTTTTCTTGTGTTAACTCATTTATCCTCACAACTGCTTCATGGAGTAGGTTGTACTCTCCCTGTTTTACAGGCCAGGAGCTGAGGCCCAAGGATTACGTAATTTGCTGAAGATTGCACAGCTAATTAATTATGGAGCTGATTTGAACCGAGGCAGTACAACTCCAGAATCCTTGCTTCTGAGACCATTGTGCGGTGTTGCCTCTCAAGTGAAAACCTTTCGGTTTTACTTAGCTTTTGCCAGATTTCTTTGGACTTCTCCTTTACCTCAGTCGGAGCTTTTTGGTGAGGAAGATTATCCCTGAGCTAACATCTGTCCCCATCTTCCTCTCTTTTGTTTGTGGGGCACGGCCTCAGCATGGCTTGATGAGCAGTGCTAGGTCTGTGCCCCGGATCCGAACTGGTGACCCTGGGCCGCCAGAGGGGAGCGTGAGAACATAGCCACTAGGCCACTGGGCTGCCCTTCCTCAGTCGCTTTTTGATGCCGATGTATTCACCTGGAAGGTCTTGGCCTTCCAGGTCTCCAAGCCTGCCTAGCTTGTCCATTTTGAACCTCCATGTCTTAGGATTCTTATCCTGTTTTATTTTTTGTTTTGTTCATTTATTATAAACATTCCTGTGTATTATACTCTGTGATTGGCCCCAGACATGCAAAGACAGTATGAAGAAGTTCGGTCCAATAGGGGAAATAGATATATAAATAGAAAATTGCAGCACAGTGAGATGAGTGCGATGAAAGAAGTATAAATTGGTGACTCTGGGAATTCCTAGGAGGGCACCAAGCTTATCCTTGGAGGAGGAGGGGTTACAAGAGGAGTATAGAAGTGGAGTTGCCATCTCATAGAAATTGTCGTTTAAAATCTTGGGAGTTACTACCGAATTGGCCTCTAAACATTTAGAAATCATGATTTTGCTGTTTACCCTCACTACCAGTGGATATATCAATCTTGAAAAATTATTGCTTTGATGATAATAAATTGGCATTCATTATTTTAGCTGGTGTTTCTTTAATTCAAATTTGACTGATTTTGTTTTTAGCTTTTATAACTTACACATTAAAAAACTTTTTCTGAGAGAGTTGCAGATTTATAGAAAGTTGCAAGTACAGTACAAAGAACTTTTTCCCCTGAATCATTTGAAAGTTGCCAAACAAGATGCCAATCACCCCAAATATTGTTTATTTCCTACAAATAAGAACATTTTTCTACATACCCAGAACACAACTGTCAAAATCAGGAAATCAGTAGATTATTACCATCTAATCCTCAGACCCCATTGAAGTTTTGCCAGTTGTTCCAATATCGTTTGGAGTAAAAGAATCTAGTTAGAACTGTACATTATATTTAGTTATCTTTAGTCTCTTTCAACCTGCAACAGTTCCTTAGTTTTTCCTTCCTGATCTTTTTTTAAAAGTGTGTAATTCATTGATTTTTGTAAACTTAAAGGGTTGTACTACCTTCACCACAATCTAATATTAGAATTTCCAGCACTCCCCGCAAAAACCTGTCCATTTGCAATTACTAGCTTTTCCCACCCCCAGCCAACTTCTCATCTACCTTCTATCTCTGTAGATTTGTCTTTTCTGAACATTTCATATAAATGGAATCAGAAAGTATGAGGACTTTTGCATTTGGCTTCTTTCACTTAGCATAATGTTTTTGAGATTCATTCATGTTGTAGCATGCATCAGTACCTAGTTACTTTTTATTGCCAAATAGTATTCCATCGTATGGATGTACCACATTTTGTTTATCCGTTCACCATTTGATGGACATTGGATTGCTTCCACATTTTGGCTGCCTTGTGTGACCTGGACACTTCTCAATATTATAGGCTAGTTATTTTGTAGTGTCTCTCAATTTGGACTTGTCTGCCAGACTTTTGTGAATTACTCTTTTTCCCTTGGTTATTAATAAGTATTTTGTAGGGAGGTGCTTGGAAACCATGTAAATATGCCATTCCTCATCACACTTTGAATTTCTTTGATTACTTATATCACCATGGACTTGTTTATATTCTAGTGGGTTATATTTTAGTTACTATTTTTGTACACCAAACCACCTCAAAACTTCATGGAATAAAACGTTATATTAAAAAAGCTCTATAGTTCTTTGGGTCAGGAGTTCAGGCAGAAGTGTGGGAGATAGCTTGTTTCTGTGTCAGGCTGTCTGGGGCCTCATCTAGGAAGACTCGAAGGCTGGGGGTGACTTTATAGGGGCTCCAGAGGCCTGTTCACTCACTGGTGGTTGAGTGGAACACCTCACCTGGGCTAGTTGAGCTTCCTCACAACATGGTTTGTGGATTCCAAGTGTGATGGTTCCCAGAGAGCAGGCAGAAGTGTGTGGCATTTTTATAGTCTAGCCTTGGAAGTCACACAGCGTTACTTCTGCCATACTTTATTTGTTGAAGCAGCCACGAAGTTCTGCATAGTTTCAAGGAGTTGGAGCGTAGATGTCTCCACTGTTTGGGAAGAGTGTCAAGGTCATAATTTAAGAAGAGCACGTGGGATGGGAAGTATTGTTACATTATCTTTGGAAAATTCAGTGCCACAGGGTATAGTCTGTTCCCATCATTATTTATTAGATGCCCACGTCATGCCATATTTGGCTTTTGGGAGCTTCTCAGGCTGACTTCTTTTGACATGTCTCACCCTTCTTTGAGCAACTTCTATGTTTTCTGGCGTAAGACGTTCTGGGCTTTTCTTGTCCTTTCCATGTTCCTGCTGTGGAATCAGCCATTTTTCCGAGGAGCTCTGGTTCCTTTGAATGGAAAATGGTATTTAGAAAGTAAGATTTGGGCCCTAGGGGTACTCACTGCTACTGGGATGTGTAACTGCTTCCAGGCTCTCTCAGTGGACAGAGCTATGGAATATATGCCCACACATTTACAACTATGTTTATTTTTTATTGTGTATATGTTAACAACAATAAGGTCACACCTGTACCTCCTATTTCGGTCAAGTACCACAGGGTTTATTTTAATTTTATGCCTTTTCAGATGTTTTAAAAACAGTTTTATTGAGATGTAATTTACATACCATACAACTTAGCTATTTAAATGTACAATTCAGTGCTTTTAGTATATTCACAGGGTTGTGCATATATCACCACGGTTGATTTTAGAACATCATCATTATTACAAAAAAACAAACAACCCTGTTCCCCTTGGCCATTGCCTTCCACTCCTCCTCAGCCCTATGCAACCAGTGCTGTACTTTCTTTTTTTATATGTATTTATTTATTTATTTGACTTTTTAATTCTTTTTTTAATTGCGATAACTGGTTTATAACATTATATAAACTTCAGGTGTACATTGTTATATATTTCGATTTCTGTGTAGATTACAGTGTTTGCTACTCAAAGACTACAGTCCATCACCACACACGTGCCTAATCACCCTTTTCACCCTCCTCCCTCTCCCTTACCCCTCTGGTAACCACCAATCCAGTCTCTGTTTCTGTATGTTTGTTCGTTGTTGTTTTTATCTTCTACTTATGAGTGAGATCACATGGTATTTGACTTTCTCCCTCTAACTTATTTCACTTAGCATAATGCCCTCAAGGTCCATCCATGTTGTCACAAATGGCCGAATTTCATCGTTTCTTATGGCTGAATAGTATTCCATTGTGTATATATACCACATCTTCTTTATCCATTCATCCCTTGATGGGCACCTAGGTTGCTTCCAAGTCTTGGCTATTGTGACTAATGCTGTGATGAACATGGGGCTGTGTATATCTTTATGCATTTGTGTTTTCGTGTTCTTTGGATAAATGCTCAGCAGTGGAATAGCTGGTCTACTTTCCGTCTCTTTAGATTTGTCTGTTCTGGACACTTCATATAAATGGAATCAGGCAACATGTGGTCCTTTGCCTCTGGCTTCCTTCACATAGCATAATGTTCCCCAAGGGTCATCTACATTGTAGCATGCGTCAGTACTTCATTTCTTTTTATGGCTAAATAATATTGTATTGTATGGATATACCACATTTTATTTATCCATTTGTCAGTTGATGGACATTTGGCCTCTTTCCACTTTTGGCTGTTAAGAATAATGCTGCTGTGAACATTATTGTATGAGTTTTTGTTTGGATGCGTGTTTTTAATTTTTCTTGGGTGGAATTCCTGGTTCATATGTGCCTATATATTTAATCTTTTGAGGAACTGCCAGACTGTTTTCCAAACTGGCTGCACCATTTTACATTACTCCCAGCAATGTGGGAGAGATCTAGTTTCTCCACATCCTTGCTAACACTTGGTGGTTTCTTTTTTGAAGATTATAGCCTTCCTAGTAGATGTAAAGTAGCATTTCATTGTGGTTTTGATTTGCATTACCCCATGGCTAATATTTAGCATCTTTTCATGTGCTTAATGGCCATTTGTATATTGTCTTTGGAGGAGTATCTGTTCAGATCCTTTGCCCATTTTTAAGTTGAATTGCTTTTTCATTGTTGAGTTATAAGAGTTTTTTTTTATGTTCCTTATCAGAAATGTGATTTGCAAATCTTTTCTCCCATTTTGTGGATTCTCTTTTTGTTTTTTTGATGGTTTCTTTTGAAGCATAAAAGTTTTTAATTTTGGTGCAGTCCAGCTTATCTTTTTCTTTTGCTGCTGGTGCTTTCTGGTGTCATATCTAAGCATCTGCTGCCAAATCCAAGGTCATGAAGATTTCTGCCTATGTTTTCTTCTAAGAGTTTTAAAGTTTTAGTTCTTATGGAGATGTATGATCCATTTTGAGTTAATTTTTGTATATGGTGTAAGGAGAATCCAAGTTTGTTCTTTTGCATATGGATATTTAGTTGTCACAGCATAATTTGTTGAGTTACTCTAGTCTTAGTGTTTTACCAACCCTGTTAAAAGCAAAAATATATATGTGTGTATGTATCTATCTATCTATACTTATTACAGTTTTGTTTTCTTCCTTTTTAAGGAAAATTTCAAAAATGTTTCAAATTCCTGTGGAAAATCTTGACAACATCAGGAAGGTACGGAAAAAGGTGAAAGGCATTCTTGTGGATATTGGGCTTGACAGCTGCAAGGAGTTGCTGAAGGTAAGAGGACCTGAGTAAGCTTTCAGGAGCAGGAGTAATACTGGAGATGCGAGGTTAGCTTTATGGAGGTGAGGTCTGAACTGGGAGTTTTTGAAGAATGGGTAAGATTCTTCAAAAGGAATTTGCTAATACTTTCAGTGACTGCCTGAGAGCACCATTAGTTCTTATTTATGTCTTTCTGACTTACAGTGAGCTACTTAAAGCTGTTCAAGTTTTTAAAGTTACTTTTAGAAGGGGCTTTTTATATTCTTTAGTTATAAAATATATTTGTTTTTGATCTTTGAGGGGAATGTGTTGAATTATTTATTATTGTAGCAAAAGAAGACCCTAACTTAATTTCCCAGTATTGTTGGAGTAATCAGTAAATGGGGATACATACATGATATGATAGGGTTTTATTTTTTTTCTCTGATTTGTGAATTTAATACCTGCAGTCTTCTAAAAGTTTAAAAATTAAGGTCACAGTCATGCACTGTATTGATTAGTCATGTTCTCATATAATTTTATACTTATAACTTGAGAATATATGGCTGGCATATATAGTAAAGTAGTAAAAATTGTTAAATAAGGCTTGCTGTGTATCCTTATAGCTGTTGATAATTCTATGCATGTTTTATTCATATCTGTTGAAATAGCAACTGTATCTGCTTTGAAATTTTTAAACTTGTGAAGAATTTGAGTCAAACTATTATTGGCTTGGGAAGAGTTCAGTTTCTTTATTTTCAAATCTCAGACTTTTAATCAGTGATTTTATTTATAAAAAGGCAGTCTGATACTGAAAGATTTAATAGTTACCAGGATTCTCATTAATAGTCAAGTGATTTTTGCTCTCAAGTAGATAACTATTGATTTGTGAAGGGCCTCAGATAGTTCTCTGCTCAAAATTGCCACCCCAGAGAGATGTTCCCTCTAAAATGTGGCCCTCCTGCTATGGTCTGCTCTCTGACCTTCTAGTGCCTGATGTTGTTGTCTTAGACTCTGTCTCCCCAATGTGAATGTAGAAGGCAAGGATCTCATAGATTTGTTATCCACTCTGCTACCTGCAATCAGAATTGTGTCTGCAGATAGGTGCTTAACAACTCTATATTTATATTTTTCACAAATATTTTTTTAAATGAATGAATGAAAGCAAATCCCAAGTGAGAAATACTTTTAATAACAGACTGTGACTGAAAGTGCATTCAGAAATGAAAGGGCAGGGTGAGACTGAAGTGGGAGCTCTTAGGTAGATGTTCTTGCTCAGGAACAGTCTTCACATAAGAGAACTCTCAGTTCTTTGCAGCTCTGTCTATAAGTCCTATCTTGTGCGTGAGGAAGAAAACAGGGTCATTATTTGGAGACAAGATTGAGAAGTTAGATAGTAGGCACATACTCCGTTAATGTAGATGAGTATGTGTATATAAGTAATATTTACAGAGAATGTAAAAATAACAAGCTAAGAATACAAGTGTATGTGTATAGACTGAGAAAATTTCAAATAATATATGAGAAGCTCCTAAAATGATGCCTAGCATGTGGTAGATGCTCAAAAGATGAACCCTAAAGGTATAGTGGTATCCTTCAGTAAGCAGACTAGAATATTCTTGGATCGTCCTTTTGTTTGTTTATTTTTTTTTTCAGATTTTATTTTTCCTTTTTCTCGCAAAGCCCCCCAGTACATAGTTGTATATTTTTAGTTATGAATCCTTCTAGTTGTGGCATGTGGGACGCCGCCTCAGTGTGGCTTAATGTGCAGTGCCATGTCCGCACCCAGGATTGGAAGTGGTGAAACCCTGGGCTGCTGAAGCAGAGCATGCGAACTTAACCACTCGGCCACGGGGCTGGCCCCCGTCCTTTTGTTTTAATCCTGGCTATTAGCTAATGGGGTGACTTTGGGCAGATCAGTTTATCTTTGGGTCTCAGTGTCCTTATCATTATAGTGAAGAACTACAGAGTTAGTCAGGAGACTAGCTTGCTATTTGGGAGACAATAATCTAGCAGGAACTGAGAGATGAACTCAAAACAATGATAGTAAGAGACAGGCAGGAAGATCTCTTCCAGCTGGAAGCTACTGTAGCCTTTATAGAGGAGATGAGATTGGAACGTTGTTTGTAAAGAGTGAGTAGGATTCTCCAGTGGAAGGAATGAGAAAGGGTATTCCAGGAACGTGGAATTTAGAACCACAACCCACTTGATAACCCTCATCAAACCAGACTGAGTGAATTAAGTTATTTTAAAGAAAATCGTTCTATTTGGAAATAATTCAAACTTACAGAAAAGTTACAAGAATAAAAATAGTACAAGGAACATTCATTACTCTTCACCCAGATTTCACTTATCAACATTTTATCCCCTTTGCTTTGACATTTGCACACTATTGCCTGTGCTGTGTAAGTAGTGTTTTTCCCTGAGCCCTTGAGAGTACCTTGCATATATCATGACCTGTCTTTAGTACCTAAATACATCAAGTGTGTGCTTCCTAAGAATAAGGATAGTTTCTTATATCATGGTTATCAATTCATACATTTAACGTTGATAGGATATTTTTGTCTAATCATTTATGGCATTTTTCCTGGTCAGTGATGGACCCAGTCTAGGGTCAGATATTGCCTTTGGTTGTCATGTCTCTTTAGTCTCCTTTAATGTGGATTCCATTTTTAAACGGAATTCTGTTAGAAAATTGGCTTTGTTTTAACAAAGGCAATAAAACGTAATAAATGTCAGTAACAACTAAAAATTTTCATCCTGGAGTCCTTTGTTTTTGGCATTGTGTAAAACTGAACATTCCTCACTAACTTTTACTTCCTTAGTCAGCCTAAGAATGTGTTTGCTCATCTGAATTTGTTCAAGACTGTTTACTTTGTCTAAGACTGTACTGACACAGATATGTACATACTGCACAAGGGAACGTTAAGAGAGTTGAATGGCTTACAGCTATTAAGTTAGTTAGATTAACTGTTGGGTTAAATATAACTAATTCTTTTGGGGAAAATTTTTGTTTTTATTAATTTGTAGTTGGTCCTATATTTTATGAAATTTAAAAAATTCTAACAGTATAAAAAGTTCATTGTTGAAAAATTAGAAAGTATACACAGAAATATAGAGAAGAAAATAAGACTCATTTGTAAATCATTACCCCAAAATATCCATTGTTAACATTGTTTTATATCTTTCTAGAGTTTTTTAAATGGGACATAACCAAATATATAAGATACTGTACTAGCTTTGTTTTGTGTTTTTGCTGAATCGCATATTAAGAACTTTTTTCCACGTCAAATGCATTTATTCTTAATCCACCACAGTGTTTAGAGTTTCTTGGTTTCAAGCAACAGAAACAAACACTGACCAACTTAAAAGGGGAATTTGTTGGAGGTCTCTTGGGGGCTTACAGAGAGGCAGCCCTGGAAATAGAATGAGCCAAGGGAACACCTGTCCATGGCCCTTTCCACTTCCTCCCCAGCATTTCAGACTTCACAATGAAACATCACTCTGCCTTCTCTGATCGCCAAAGCATATATGGCTCCATTGCTCCCAAGAGTTAGGACCTCATATCATAGGCTATACAGTTCTTGTCAAAAGCCTGAGAAAAGTGAAAAAGTGAACCTTAGGGAAGATAGACTCTTGCAAGAACCTTATTTCCTTTTCTAAAAGTAGATCTAAACCTTGCCATTCATTAGAGTCTCTTGAGGGGTTTTTTAAAAGGTTAACATTTGATCGGTTAAATTAAGGCCTTGCTACATGATTTGCAGAATACTGTGCAAAATGAAAATCTGGAGCCCTGGCCAGGTCCCACAGACCTGCTGTCCCAACCCACAGCAGATGGGTGACTCCCTAGGGATTGCAACCTCTGTGTCAGGATGCTCATGGTACCTGGATCCAGGGTGGGTTTGAGGCCCCTGTTGAGTTGCCTGCCAAACACCTTGGTGCTGCCAACCCAGGACAGGATTGGTTGCTACCTTGGCCCCCCACCCCTCTTGAGTCTGTGCCAGGTTTTCCACTGGGGGCGACGATGGAATGTGGACCTCTTGACAACTTGGTTACTGCCCCAGGTTGTGGATGAGAGTCTGGGAGTGGTTTCGGGGTGAGGGCTGAGAGGGGGAGGTCGGGGGCAATGAGGTGGCTGGGATGGAGAGCAGGGAAAGAATCTGTCCCAGGAGTACTGGAGGTAGGACCATGCATGAACTGAAGCTCCAAGCCCCTAACATGTACCCATTGTCCTGTCACATCAGACTTCCCCTTTTATAAAACAAATTCAAAGATAACATTAACAAGTTCAAGATGGTGACAACAGAGCCTTAAACCCTAGCACTGGCCGTTCTGAGCACAGGTCCCTGTGCACCTGCCCTGGTTGCATGGCCGTGGAGTCAGCCGTCACTGATATTTTTCAAGACCCTCCCAGGTCTTTTTCTTTTTAATTTAATAATTTAGCTTATTTAGCCTCTTATACTCAAAATACTGTTTCCGTATGTCATCACTTTAAAAAAGTAATGAAATATTTTGTACTCTTTTTTCTTTTAAATCTTCAAAGTATATTTAAGAATTTTTTGTTATAGTAAAATATATATAACATAAAATTTGCCATTTTAACTAGTTTTAAATGTACAGTTCAGTAGTATTAATTACATTCACACTGTTTTGCACCTATCAGCACTGTTTCTAGAACTTTTCATCACTTCAGACAGAAACTCTGCAACCATTAAGTAACTCCCCATCCCCTCACCACAGCCTCTGGTACCCTGTGATCCATTTCTGTCTCTATCAGTTTGCCTATTACAGATATCTCACCTAAGTGGAATCATACAATATTGGGCCTTTTGTGTCCAGCTTATTACGTTTAGTTTAATGTTTTCAAGGTTCATCTGTGTTGTAGCATGTATCAAATGTTATTCCTTCTTATGACTAAATAATATTCCCTTGTATGAATATACCGCATTTTGTCTGTCCGTTCATCTGTTGATAGACATTGGGTTGAGTCCACCTTTTGGCTATTGTGAATGATGCTGCAGTGAACATTGGCTTAC